GTTATTTATATTTCACAAATGAATGCAGTGAAGAAAGCTTTTAAATGCATCATTGCATACATCTAACATTCATCAGTCTTTTTAATATGCCAACACTGGAGTTAGCAATGGGGAATAGACATAAAGATGAGTGGAAATATGGGGTGTTTTTAGATAGATCAGGAGGCATCTATGTTCTTAATTTTCTTCACTAATTAGAAAGTTCAAATTTTTAGAAAATGTTTTTGGCTTCTTGCCCTGCCGAGACCAAGAGTTGCCCCCTATGAGCGGCTCTCCAGCATGGCCATGGCCCCAGAGGCACACGGACCTAATTTGGAACCTAGCAGCTTCTGGCGGAAATGTGAATGGACTATACATTAAGCTATGGCACTGTGCCTCCCCCAGGAGAGAAAGGGTGCTGTCTCTTCTGCCATTCACCCTCTCCCTCCCCCCTCAGCATGGTGGCCGCTTCCTCAGAGCTTATTGGACAGCCAGGTATGAGCCTGTGGTGACCAGGCAACTGCAGCCTCATGGGATGGGGGGGGGTGGAACCGGAACATCCTTCTTGCTCTGCCGAGACCACAAGTTACACCCTTCCCCCCACACCCCGCATGAGCGATTCTCTGGCACGGCCATGGTCCCCGAGGCACACAAACCAATCTTGGAACTATCCGGCTTTTGGCACAAATCTCTCCAGACTTAATTAGTAAAATATCAGAAATCCAATTGCAGCCATGCGACATCATATGGTCTTCATAAGCAGCAATAGAAAACAAATTATATCATGATGCCTTTTTAGCAGGTTTGATTGTTGGGGGGAAATTCCAAATAATAGTGGAGCATCTTTTGTCGAAATAATGAATGTAATCAAAGTAGAGAGAGAGTTAAGTGGAAATCATCTGCCTCACAGGCACAGGGAGGGGTGGCATGGGGGGTATATTGAGGTTCTTGGTGGTGGAAAATATGCACTGGTGAAGGGATGGATGTTTGATCATTGTATGACCGAGACTTAAACCTGAAAGCTTTGTAACTGTTCTCACAGTGATTCAATAAATAAATTTTTAAAAATTCATGATAAAAAAAGAAAATGTTTTATGGAAATAACTTTGTTGACAGAGGAAATTTTACAGAGAGAGATGTTTGATACAGTTTTGAGAAACAAAGCCTTTTTTTTTTAAATGTTTTCTCAGGTTTTAAGGGTTAATTATTATTACAAAAGACAAATGTGCCTTAATTTATTGATTTGTCATCTCTTGATTATTCTACCACTGTGCATACAACTATTTTCATTCTTTGCATAGGATGAAATAAGCTGGCACAACCTTTTGCTGGCAAAGGGATTAGAAAAGGGAGGGAAGAAAAAAGAAACCAAAAGAGAAGGTCAAGACTTGGGGTTTTGCCACTACTGGCAGAACGTGTGGGTTGTTAGCTAAAGTTTACTAGTGGTGAATTTATTCACTTGCTAAATATAGTGGTGTTGGGGATCAAACTCAGGACCTCATAGGTATATAGCAAATGCTCCATCACTTGGGCAGTACTAGTGGCAAATTCAAACTGTAAACAAGGAATTAAAGCTCAGGAAAGATGAAGCAGGACCCCCACAAGGAATCTTTTATCTAGGTCACCCAGGGATTTCTTAAAATATCATTGCATGCATGAGAGGAACTGGCCCTTTATCTAGAGGTGTGGGTGTAGCTGAAAAATGCATGGAGGTCATTCGAATAGACACACCCAGAAACATGAACATGGCATCAAGTTTCACAATCAGGAACTTGATGTCAGTAACAAGATCAGTTAGAGCAGACTGTGTCTCTTAGCAGCAAACTTCAGTGAGAGTTGGAGGAAAGGGCCTTTGTGTGTGGTGGGGTGGGGGGTGGGGGTGCTTTGTGGAGACTTCCCCTCAGTTCTGCTGTCTCATTCAGATGAGGCTTTCTCTTGGGCTAAACTTCTCAGGACCGTAGGTCACGTTCCAGACATCTGAACCATTGGAATTGCTGAGGTGGCTCTCAGAAGGTGGAACAGAGCCTTGGTCATCTGTTCTGCACTTATAGAAAGACACTTGCTTGCACCATCTTCCCTTGAATCAAACCCATTCTTGCAAAAACCCAATCCATGTGGCAAGCAAAGGTCTCCTGGCGGGGGGACCTCACAACAAAATGCTAACACCATGATCAAAAATGCCCCCCTCAGGCTCCACAACTTTCCATCTCTAATTGTCCTGAAACTGCCTATAAAGACTAGGGTGGTGGGTGAGGAGATTCCAGGCCCATCTTGGAACAAGTCCCTCTCTTGAGCTCACGTCCTCCTGAGGCGTCTTGGCTGCCCTCCTGTCCTGCTCCTCACTCCACCCCACTGTTTTCAGACCAGCTCTGCATCACAGGAGTCTCTCCTTCCTTGTTCATTTTGCTCCATCCCCTGATTCTCTGGCCACTGTGGGGTTCAGTGTCAAAGTCTTGCACCTGAGTCCCTCCAGATTAGAAAACTTCAGAGCTATTCCAGACAATTTTCTGAGGATAATTCCTTGGGTGGTGGTGGAGTGCTTAGCAATTCTGTTCTCCTGCCCTAAGAGACAGAGTGGATGTCAAGTACCATTTTGTAGATGGGGGAAATGGAGGCTAACTGGGGTTTTGACAAGAGCTAGAATTTGTATTTATTTGCCTCTCAGGGATGTGACATTGGCTCTCATAATGAAATCCAGGCAGAATTTCTCAGTAAGAGGGAGAGGAAAAAGAGCAGTTTGTTTAGAGGCTAAACTTCCTGTGGAGAAACGTGGACAGCTAAACCCAGAATAAATGATGAGAGAGAGAGAGAGAGAGAGAGAGAGAGAGAGAGAGAGAAACCACAGAAACAAAATATCATTGAAAAATGAAAATGCCAGTCCAGTTTTGGGATTCCTCCTGAATCCCTTTTGATGTTGGTGAGCCCCACGGGTGGCTTATGTGAAGCAGGTAAGAGAAAGATGGTCACTTTCTCCCCATCCACCTCTGCCACCCAGGACCCAGGTTTACTGGGTTCTTGTCTCACCTTGCAGAAAGGAATTTAAGTAGTACACATGCAGTGAAATTACAGTTTTTATTTGGAGGTTTTGAAGGGAAGGAGGAAAAGAAAGTGGGAGAGAGTGGAGAATAATGTGCTGCAGAGAACCTGGGCTTCTCCAAGGGCAGAGAAAGCCCCTACACACATCCAGCATTAAACATGAAAACATGAAAGTGCATATTCTCAAGAGGAGAGATGCAGGAGACACGTGCTCAGGAACCACATGTGCTCACCATGTGGATGCAAGCAGCACATGGGCTCAGGCAGCATATGTGTGCCCTTCCTTTGTTCAGGGTGGACTTTATAGGGTTATTACAACCTGCACCTACACAGGCCTTCTACCAAGGTCAAAATCTGTTGCTAAGGAGGTTGTCTTAGGGGGAATAGGGTTGGGAGTGGTGATGGTCTTCTTTGAAATTTCTTTCCTGGCTTTTGGTTCATGCTGGGAGCTTGTCCTTGGGGGTCTAGCCTCCTCAGGGTCTGTTTCTAGCACCAGGTGAGGTCTTATCAGGCCTTAGTTCCTGTTTTCTGCAAGATTGGCCTTTGCATTGTCAGAGCTATTACTTCCCAGGATATTTACTGCCATCGCCTGGGGAGGGGGCCTTCCCTCTCTGCCCTCCTGCCTACATCAGGTGGACCCAGGATTCCCCTGCTGGACTGTTTAGTGTGTAATCCATCTGCTCCTCTCCATAGTTTCCCTTTAAAGCAAAAGGGTCTGGAAAGTTCCCTGTGGACCCAGCTGAGTCCTGGCCCCAGGCTTATGTCACAAACCTGGAACAAAATGCCTGAGGAACTTGCAAGGAAGATGCTTAACCTAGGGGCAGGCTGGGGAGAAGCCTCCTGAGCCAGAGAGTCCTGAAATCTGGGAGTGCAGGTCGGCTCTGGGTCACACTCCACCGCCCAGTGCTCTCTAGGGCCTTGGTTAACTTTCAGGTTAGGTTAAGTAGTTTATTTAACATTTGTGTTTATTTCTATTATTGAATTTTATATATGATGTAATCAATGTTCACCCATCCTGTTCCCCACCTTCCTCCTTCTCCTTTTATTCTCTAAACACTCAATATATGGATGAGTCCATGTGAATAGCTCATTTAGGCAGAAATTTCAACTATGAAACAATAAATGCTACTTAATTGATCTTGCCCTGCAATGGCATTCAAAATTTTGAAGGAACTTATACCAAAGGCAAGCAGGCATTTGTCTTGTGATGATTCTATTCATTTCATTTCCCCAAACTAATCAGAATCCCCAGTTGAGAGGAATACTGGGTGAAAAGTATCAGAATAGGGGGCCAAAACCACAGGAAAGGGACAAAGTTGTAGGACGGTGAGACCAGACAATTCCGTGGAGATGGTCTTGAAAAAAGTTGACACATTATTTTGTAACCAAATCATAATAGATGTGACTTAAGAAAGTTTCTACTCAAACAAAAAACAAGTGAATTTGTGTTTATTTATTTATATTGAGATGTATATGTATGCACACAGGTCACATTCAAAACAGGCTTTCCTGAGAATGATGGCACCTCTGTGGAGGGAGTGTTGAGTTGGGTACCCACTGCTTACTAGTCATGGTCTAGAAGACTCCACAAGAATCCTAGAAAGCACCCCTGTAACACTTTGATTTCTGGTCTCCAAACATGCTCTCCATAGCTAAGTTTGAGTTGATAGTTGGCTGTCAGTGTAGCCAGAATTAACAAATAAAATCTAATATCACTGTATCACTGTCATCCCGTTGTTCATTGATTTCCTCAAGCAGGCACCAGTAACATCTCCATTCATCCTAGTGCTGAGATTTTAGCAAGTGCCACATTGGAGGCTCTTTCAGGGTCAGGGGAATGAGACCCATCATTGTTACTGGGTTTGGCATATCGTATACACCACGGGTAGCTTTCCAGACTCTGCCGTGTGGGTAGGATACTCTCGGCAGCCTGCCGGCTCTCTCTAAGAGTGAGAACTAGGCAATAAGAAGTTGTGCAGGCCGCGATGGACGTGTTCCTCATGATCCGGCGCCACAAGACCACCATCTTCACGGACGCCAAGGAGTCGAGCACTGTGTTCGAGCTGAAGCGCATCGTCGAGGGCATCCTCAAGCGGCCGCCCGACGAGCAGCAGCTGTACAAGGACGACCAGCTCCTGGACAACGGCAAGACGCTGGGGGAGTGTGGCTTCACCAGTCAGACAGCCTGGCCCCAGGCCCCAGCCACAGTGGGGCTCGTGTTCCGAGCAAATGAAGCTTTTGAGGCCCTGCGCATTGAACCGTTCTCCAGCCCACCTGAGCTGCCAGATGTGATGAAGCCCCAGGACTCAGGAAGCAGCGCCAACGAACAAGCAGTGCAGTGAGGGCCCTGCGCCCAACCCCCATGTCCCCCCAATAAAAGATTTGGGTGTCTGCCAAAAAAAAAAAAAAAAGAAGTTGTGCAGCTGCAAATGTGACTGCGTGCTTCCGGGAGCTGGGTTTTATAGTCTCTGGGTCTTGGCTGTTGATGGGATTACACAGCACCGGGGGGCAGATGGTGGGTGTAACACCTAGCTACTGGGAAATGGGGGATCTGGGTGGAGGAGGCCCAGTCCCGATCTGAACAGGCTTGAAGATCTCAGTCCTGGGACCTGCACACCTGGGTCCCTCTGTCGGTTCCTTCATGCATGAGACTAGTCCAACTGTGTGGGGAGTGGTCTTAAGCATGGCTGTGGCTGGTTCTGGAGGTCTTCAGTTGCTGGGGCTCTGCTTGGGGTGGGGAGGGAAACTCAACCTTCCCCCCTCAAGGGGCCCCAGTGAGGACAGCCAGGCATGGGGGCAGGAGACTCTGCATTGTTCTCTTCTGGGAGCTGGGTTTATAGTCTCTGGGTCTTGGCCATTGATGGGATTGCACAGCGCCGGGGGCAGATGGTGGGTGTAACGCCTAGCTACTGGGAGATGGGGGATCCCAGAGTCTCCTACCCCTGCACCTGACTGTCCTCACCAGGGTCCCTTGAAGGGGAGCAGGTTGAGTTTCCCTCCCCACCCTGAGCAGAGCCCTAGCAGCTGAAGACCTCCAGAACCAGCTACAGACATGTTTAAGACCATTCTCCACACACTCGAATGAACCTCATGCATGAAGGAACCGGCAGAGGGACCCAGGTGTGCGGGTCCCAGGACGGAGATCTCCAAGCCTGCTTGGATCGGGACTGGGCTTCCTCCACCCAGATCCCACAAAATATAATATAATAGCTAGGATATGGAAACAACCCAAATTACCAAAGACAGAAGTTGTGGTTTAGGGGTTGAAGAGATAGTACAGGGCACTTGCCTTGCTCGGTCCCTAGCACCATATATGGTCCCCTGAACACCACCAGGAGTAATGCCTGAGCACAGATAACTATGGACTTGAAACAAAAAAGAAGTTGCATTTTATATATATACATACACACATATGTATATTTACACACACAGTGGAACACTATGTAGTCATAGCGAAAAAAATGAAATTATGCAGCTCATTGAAACTTGGATGAAACTGGAGGGTATCACATTGAACAAAGTCAGACTGAAAGAGAAGGATGAGTACTGGATAAACTTACTCATCTGTAGTCTATAGAGAAACAAATCAAATATGTGGGCAATATCAATTGATAGTAACTCCTAAGTGCTGATTTACTAATCTGAAAGTACCAGTTGGGGAATAGAGTTTTTGGTGGCCAAGGACCATTTCCCTGGCTGGCCCACAGGGTGGAAGGATGAAGGACCGGAGGAACATAGAAACAGGGCCACAGGCTTGTTGGTAGTTGGCTTATTTCTCTCTCCTCCCCAGCATAGTCTGATCTCTCCCCTTACTGAACAATAATAGTTGTAGTTTTGGTCGTAGTCCCAGTCATCAGAGTTCCCTCATCCTTGTCTCCTCATAGTCCTCAAAGTCCTCTACCTCTAGTCATCATCTAGTCCTTGACCCCTCTTACCCCTTACAGCATAGTTATATAGAAATCATGAAGGGTAGGGGTACACATAGTGGGGTGGCACATTGTCATAACAACAAACAGAAGAGGTAAAATCACTCCTTCAGGGGAAGTTCTAGATTAACTCAAGGACAAAATCTCACCTGAGGGTTCAGCACTCTAGATTACTAGGAGAACCACTCAAGAGCGGGATTTCATTTAGGGTATATTGCTTTCTCCTATCCTCAGCTAGTAATTCATTTAAACAATGACAGTAAATTTACTTTCTTATAATATTTCTAGTAATTTTGTATGAACACGGTAAGAGATATATTAAGCTTAGAGGTTGACTTTTCCTGGGGACATCTCCCTATATATTCCAGACCATGGTCCTCAGGACAGGTTAGTATTTCCTAACTTCAGCAGGGTCCTTACTCACTTACTTCTTTTTGTGTCATGACAGAGTTTGTCCCATGTCTTAACTTATTATATTTATGGTGCTTACTTTGTTCCCTTTGATGCCAGGGTAGCTTACAGCTTGCTTTTGGTCCATCCAATCCCTTCATCAGGACCCTCCTTTTGGGGAGGGGGGTGGGTTAGGAAGTAACGGCAACTGAGGTTTAAGTCAGGTAAATATGATGGATGCCCAGGAGTAAATATTATTTGGAGTCAATTAACTCCCATGTTACAAAAGCATAAGATGAACTCTTTCTTCCTGTGTCTATACAAAAGGACATTGCTACATATATCATACAAATGACATAAAGGAAAGAGAAAAGCAATATAGGATTATTAGTGCTTGATGTAATTGGGTGTGCCTCAGGGGCACTATTGTGGGAATAACTCAATAAACCTAAACTCCCCAAGGGAGGAGCAAGGACAACCCAATGTTATTCAACAGATGTGGACCAGAAGTTACACAGAGCATAGGTGGAGGGTTTTGGGCACTTTGGTGAGGTAAGGTATAAGGTATATAACATTATTGTAGACATATGACCTAAAAGATAATAATTAGTTTGGGGAAACAGTTGGGTCACACCCAGAGGTGCTCAGCACTCTAGTTCTGAACTAGAACTAGAGGGATTACTCCTATTGGTGCTTGGAGGATCATTTGGAGTGCCAGAGACCAAACCTGGTTGGCCATAAACAAGACAAATACCCTACCCACTGTATTATCTCTCTGGTCCAATAACTACAATTTAGGGGAAAAAAGACAGTGGTAGAGTTGTGGGCATTTTGTATACCAGAATTGTCACTGTCATTGTCCTCCCGTTGTTCATCGATTTGCCCGAGCGGGCCCAGTAACGTCTCCATTGGAGACTTTGTTGTTACTGTCTTTGGCATATCGAATACATCACGGGTAGCTTGTCAGGCTCTGCCATGCGGGCGAGATACTCTCGGTAGCTTGCCGGGCTCTCCAAGAGGAGCGGAGAAATCGAACTCGGGTCGGCCATGTTGGCTGTGTGCAAGGCAAACGCCCTACCGATTGAAAACGTTACTATAATGTTACCTAAGCTATAATAAAACAAATTAATTTTGCTACCAGAAGAAATTTTTCTTTGGTCTAAATATGCCCAGTGCTATATTTGGGACATATGCCCTCTCCCTAATTTTTTTGTTCATATCTGAAATTTAGATTGAACAGGGAATCCTGTGTTGTATCTGATCTCCCTATGTGGGGAGAATTCCACTATTGAGGTTTCTTCCTATTGGAGATTAGTGGCTAGAATTGGCTGAAGGCCAGAACAGTGCTTTTCTACCTCCTCTCCTTTGTATTGGAATTGCTTTGGGGGAGATTTTGAAGACCCCGTGCCAGAGTAGATCTTCAGAGTTCCTCAGGTGGTGCCTGGACAGGAGTTACCTTGAAAGGAACATTAGTGCTCAGTCAATCTCAGTCAATCTCTCACTGAGAGGCTGTGTTGGGCTTGTCTTGGGGTTTCAGAGGCAACAAAGCTCCACTCTAGCTTCTGGTTTTGATCAATTCCATGGGAGGCCTCCTTGGAAGTAGCAAGTCTGTCAGCTACTGTGTCACTTCTAGACCAAGGATTTTGAAGTGACTCTGTGTCTCCCTGTGGTCACACCCGCTCCTGACAATAACTTCCACCTCCACATTGCCTTCCTGTGGATGAAACCATACAGTGAATGTGTGTGTGTGTGTGTGTGTGTGTGTGTGTGTGTGTACGCATGCATGCGCACTGTTGGGGGTCATCACTGTAATGAGTACCCACATTCTAGCCTACATCTGACAGCATCTAAGCCACATCTTCACTAACAACATACTTGATCATTTTGTCCACAAGATTTATGAATCAGATAGCAAGCCACTTAGCAAATAGCACTCCAAAAAGTTGTACAGATGAAAGGAGGAAAGGGGCAAGAGAAACTGTTATTTAAGGCGTGGTGACCTTACCTATGGGAAACGGAAAAAGATCTTGTGCACTCTGCTGGTGGGTGTTAAAATTGTACCCTAAAACATATCACCATTTATACTTGTAAACCAATGTTACCTCAGTTGTTAAGGCAAATAAAAATCTTGTGGCACATTATATTCTCTTCTTTTGGGGAATGAAAAAAATTACTCCATTTGGTAACTTTTAGATTGGTGTTGATAAAAAAAATTTATAATGAATAAATGAGGCTACATTTTGGGGAAGTTTGAAACCACAAATTCGATCTTGGTGGATTTAGCACAAGTTCCTGTGTATTTGGGCTATTGTTTTCTTTTTAACAATAGATATGTGTATGGTATAGAAGCACTCTCACTGTCACTGTCCTCCCATTGTTCATAGATTTGCTCGAGCAGGCACCAGTAACGTCTCACAACAAATTGTGAGACTTGTTGTTACTGTTTTTGGCATATCAAATACGTCATGGGGAGCTTGTCAGGCTTTGTTGGGTGGGCGAGATACTCTCGTTACCTTGCTGGGCTCTCCGAGAGGGATGGAGGAATCAAACCCCGGTCAGCCGCGTGCAAGGCAAACGCCCTACCTGCTGTGCTCCAGTCCGCTATAGAAGCACTATACATACATGTGTATATATATATATACACATGTATGTATAGTTTTACGTTAATAACAATACTTTTCATCTCTGTATATTTTTAAATCTATTTTATCCTTTTTAATGGTTTTATTTTTGTGGTGTGACTATATTATGATGCTTAAAACTGCTCTTTTTAAAAATAGGAATCAAACATGTATTTATTTTTATTGTAATACAGCTGTGACTTTTTCCATATCTGCATGTGGATATACATATCAGTATATTTTAATTAGTCTTTAGATAGTAAAGTAAGTAAGTAAAGGCCCTCCCGTTGATCATCGATTTGCTCGAGCGGGCCCAGTAACATCTCCATTGGAGACTTTGTTGTTACTGTGTCTGGCATATCGAATACTCTCGGTAGCTTTCCGGGCTCTCCGAGAGGGGCGGAGGAATCGAACTCGGGTCGGCCATGTTGGCTGCGTGCAAGGCAGACGCC